ACGTCTCTGTTCACAGATTCCATGCAAGCATGTTTTTTGCTATGACTGTGCTATTTTACATGAAAAAAAAGGAGATAAGATGTGTCCAGGGTAAGATTATCATTACATTTTTAAAAAAGTTTGTGATGGGATGAATTGTAATCCAGGTTAAAGGTCAGGGTATGATGTAAGTCAGCAGCAGGATATCAAATATGCAGACGTAGCTAATCTTTCTTCTCCTTAGGATATCCTTCTCCTTAGGATAGGCCTAGGTAGCTATTATCTGTCAGTTCAGATTGGCCAAAACAAATATATTTGTCATCACAAAATTAGTGTTATAAACCAAAACAGTTGTTCTGTATTTTTGTTTTTTGTTTTTTTCTGATGGGACACTAGAGAGATAGTATCAAGCAGTGATTGAGAACAGAGACTTTGGAATTAGAATTCCTGGCTTCAAATCTATTCCGCCACTTACTAGTTATGTGACAGGTTGTTTCTTCATCAGTAAAATGGAGCTGATAATAGTATCTACCTCTGTGTGTTGTTGTTAGAACTAAACTAGTATGTATATATATAGTAGCTAACATACAATAAGTACTATGTTAAGTATAAGCTCTTATTTATTACCTTCAAGTCTTATTATTTATATCTTGAGTATATCTTAGGACACCATCATGGCGTCAGCTCAGACAAGTTATGAAGAAGATCTAGAGGTATTTTGGTTGATATTGATCCAGTTTGGGGTGGTCTTGAAAGATCCAGAGTAAATTGGGGATTTTTATATCCATTTAGAACCCCTGATAGAAGACGTGAGAAAGCTGTGAGACAAACTTCCTTAGAGCAGTTGTAGGCTTATGAGATTTTATAACCTGTGTCAGAAGCTATCTCAAGATTGGTAGTATTGGTTGATAACAGAATTATGGACAGTTGCAGGGGATGGTTTCTTTTTGTGGTGTAGGAAGATTGACATCACTGAGAGAGAAAGGATGATTCACTAAGTGTTCTAATATTAATATTTAAAAGGGAATTTAGTTTTCAAGATATTAGGTGTAACTCCCAAGTAAGCACCTCACTGGTTGGCCCTTAGCTATTTGAGAACATAAGCCTATCTGGCTGTTTAACAGACTCAAATCAGGAAGAGAAGAAATGGCAGCGCACGTTAATATAAATATCTACTGTTGCTTTTAAGCATCACCCAAAACAAAGTGCCTTACATCCTGTTACTGTAGAGATATTTCTGAGTTTACAGCAAATTAGAAGCAAAAAATGAGAACTGTGCCAAATGGCCACTCAGGGGAAGCCTGCTAGGATCAAGGAGTGCCAGCCTTACAGCGAGGATGGAAGTGTGGACACAGCTCAAAATCAAGAATAGAGAGCCATTTAATACAGTCTCAGATGACCTGACACACATGTTCGGTGATCAGAGCTTCTATTTGTGCCTACGTAGTGCTTAACTAGTAATTCAATCCTGTCACTTTTATTGTTTCATTTATCCTAGAATATTCTTTTAAGTAAGGCAAAGTAGATTAAAAAAAAAGAACATTGTGATTAGGTAGAGGGCATGTTTTAACCCCATATGGCAGATGAAGAGATAAAAAGATAAAAGACTTCTCCAAGTTGACAGAGCCAGTGCTTAACCCCAGTTCTTCTGATACCTGGTTCAGTCGTCTTTCCACTATTTCTTCAAAGACACCAAAGGCAAGTGTGGATTAAATACAGTGAATGAAGAAAAGTTACAACTTGACCCTGAGTCAGTAAGAAAATGTTGAGTTAAATTTAGTGCTTAGAGTTTAGAAGGGCGTGTGTAATACTTTTTCGTAGTAAAATTGTCTGGTAATTCTTCCTTAAGGGACTCTGGATAGTCAGGGTTTGAATTTAAATTGTTCACGTTGTTGAATTTTAGGAACCCTGCTGATTAGGATGATCTTACTCATTTTTGTAGTCCTTGCAGCACCTTTTACTTCGTATTGTTTGCTCAGCACATACTTATTGCTCAGTAAATACCAAACAAGTTTGGATTCCATGACTATGACACATATCCTTTCTGGATATTTTTGCAAATGGATGAAAGCGTAGAGGTGTTTGAGACAACCAGATCATTCTAGGTCTTAGGAAGAATAGGTCTTTTCTTAAAACATATTCTGTTTGATGAGCACTTGTAACTTACAATGTTTTTTTGTATTAAGAGGTCTGAATTTGGTGGAAAGCTGATGCTTAATAGGGAACAGACCACAGAGTGGGAGAGATGAAAGGTTCACTTATTGTAACTACAACTTTTAATTGTGAACTCCTGCGATATTTTCCACAACCGATTTTAGAAACAGGCATATATTATTTTTATAGTCTGCTTTCAGTAAATCAATTTTTTCCCCTTCTAATTTAGCTGTAGTGATCCTGTGCAGCGAATCGAGCAGTGTACACGAGGTTCTCTCTTCATGTGTAGCATTGTTCAAGGGTGCAAGAGAACATACTTGTCTCAGAGAGACTTACAGGCTCATATCAACCACCGCCATATGAGAGCTGGAAAACCTGTTGCCCGCGCTTCACTTGAAAACGTCCATCCGCCTATTGCCCCACCACCAGCCGAAATCCCCGATCGCTTTATAATGCCGCCGGACAAGCACCATATGAGCCACATTCCACCAAAGCAGCACATCATGATGCCACCACCTCCTTTGCAACACGTGCCACACGAGCACTATAATCAGCCCCACGAGGACATCCGCGCGCCTCCTGCAGAGTTGTCCATGGCTCCACCTCCACCTCGTTCGGTCAGTCAGGAAACCTTTCGTATTTCAACAAGAAAACACAGCAATTTAATAACCGTCCCTATTCAGGATGACTCAAATTCAGGTGCTAGAGAACCACCACCTCCTGCCCCAGCACCTGCTCACCACCATCCTGAATATCAGGGTCAACCAGTGGTTTCGCACCCTCATCATATTATGCCTCCACAGCAACATTATGCACCACCCCCACCTCCTCCACCACCAATAAGCCATCCAATGCCACATCCTCCCCAGGCCGCAGGTACTCCTCATTTGGTTTATAGCCAAGCTCCACCTCCACCAATGACCTCTGCTCCACCACCAATCACCCCTCCCCCTGGACATATTATTGCCCAGATGCCACCTTATATGAATCATCCTCCTCCAGGACCTCCCCCACCTCAACATGGTGGTCCACCTGTAACTGCACCCCCTCCTCACCATTACAATCCTAACTCTTTACCCCAGTTCACTGAAGATCAAGGAACTCTGAGCCCTCCATTTACACAACCAGGGGGAATGAGTCCTGGTATATGGCCTGCACCAAGAGGGCCACCTCCTCCTCCACGAATGCAGGGCCCGCCTTCTCAAACCCCACTTCCTGGACCACATCATCCAGATCAGACAAGATATAGACCGTATTACCAATGATTAATAGTACTTTGAACTGAAGATTTGATGAGGGAAAAAAAAAAACTTATGTATAGTCAATCTTTTAATTAAGCTTTGACTGTTTTGGGGAAGGAAAAGTACCTCTTCCTGAGGTGACCATAAAACACTTAGGGTCTTGTCTCTTAAAATGGTTTTAAATTTTGACCTTAGCATTGACTTCAAGTACTATACTGTAGTGCAGATAAGGCGCTCAGTTGAGCACAGCTATATTTTAACAACTTTGTTCCCCTAGTGTGGTAAATTGACCCAGAGGTGACCATTTGTAAAAAATTTGAGAAGAATTTTTCATTGTTCCACTTTCAAAAATACGGCTTTTGTTAAATCCAATGTTTAGTTTTTCTTGTGATACATTTTGTTAACCTGTGTAAAAGGATTAAATTTCAAAATGGTTGTAAAAATGCTATTTTTATGTGAATTTAAGTGCAGCCACATACTGTTTTTTAAAACCATATGTTTTACCACTAATTTCCCAAAGTTACAATAAAATCCTAAAAGTAAAAATCTACTAGAATTTACTGTAAGGCAGACTGTTAAATGGTAGAGAATTATTTCACATTTTAGGCACTGAAATTTTGAGGTATATTAAGTATATAATGCACTTCACTTGGATGCCTTTTCATTTTTAGGCAGCCTCAGGAGCACCAAAATACATTGGAATTCCATATTTATGTTCATAATATTAAAAGGCATTAGTAATTATTTGGAAAGATACAGCCAAAGCAATGGACTCTGCAGGCTCCAAGCTGTTGGGGGTACTGTTACTCGTTAGTGCTTTCTACCGAATGGTTGGAATCACATGATGCACCACATTTACTAATCTAAAGTAACATTCTTTTATAGAACTGTTTAAATTGTGTTATTTAGATGAAGTGTGTTCTACTCTGCTCATTGTCTTAAACTAAACATTTAGGGCTGAATAAGCTTTGTATAATTCCTCGTTTCCTGGTAGAGTTTGATCTGTGCTTTGAGTGGGTTCTTGTCTATTGGGTTTTAAAGTACAGTAGGAATGCCGTCGAGGAGTACTGTATTAATGAAGGACGTTCTTGTAATCACAAACTTGGCGTTGCTCAGGTTTCATTACTGTGTGATAAGGTTTTTTTCTCTAACTTGAAATTTTAAAACTATTAATTATTTCCTATTCCTTTTATTGGTTAAGCACTATAAAGTTTGGAACGTTTTAAAATGGAGTCAACAGTGCAGACTGCCAGATGATTTTGTATAAGAGAAAAGTAATGACTAAATTGTGAATTTCAGAGCTTTATAAGGTGCCTTTAGAGTCAGCTTTTGCATTATAGGGGCTTGTTACAGTCCAGCTAAGATGACCACTTACGTTTTATACAGAACTCATATGTATAAATCAACACTCTTAGGATATCATTTTATATCCTTTGAATAAACCCCTGTGAAGTATTTCCTCCCCCCTAAAATGGTGCATAATATAAACATGAAAAGTGTAGTATGCAGATATCATTTATTAACTAGTTTGTAGTGTATAAATTTAGAACATTTCTTTTTGACAAAGGGTGAACTGATGGCTAATTGACCATTTAATTCTGTCAGATACAGGCCGAGACCAGTTTCTCATCTTGGATCATCAGATGCAGAGGCATCTGTGAACTGAGAGCTGAAGTTAGAGATGATATCAGTGATCATTTCAACCTCGACCAGCTGAAAATAACGAATATACTTTTTTTTTTAAAGTTAATTGAGTGATTTTTCACATCTAGCAATTTGAGAGTCCAGTGTTAATGCAATAGATCTAGTGAGAAATTCTTATTAGAAGCGTGGGAGTGAAGTATGAACTAGTGTGAAATGGTGGTGGTGAGTGCTTCTATCACATTACTGTAGGTACTTGGACTGGTGCAAACTTGATTCCTTTTCATGCCCCTGTTTAGGAGCTGTTAAAATATTACTGTTGAAAATCCAATACCATTCTTTGTTTCTCGTAATAAGAAATAGCCAAATTCACTTTAGAGCTTTTCAGCTATCTATGAGGAGCTCTCCTGTTTTTATTGAAATTCGCTAGAGTTGAACGTGGTATGAAACCACTTAGCCTATGTATTGGACAAAACAATTAGTATCATGATAAACTTCCACATGTTTAAGAGAATTCTCATAGACTTTTAAGAAAATGATTTCTTTTCAGTTAGGTTTAAAAAAATATGTGTTATGCAGGGAGGCAGATCAGATGAATGTGTTATAGCAGACAAAATTTTTAAATGGTGTTAGACTTGAATTCATCCAGTTATTGTTTGAATGAGGGTGGGTGGGTAGAAGGATAACAAAATTACTGTTAGTTTTTCTTTCCTTAAGGAAAAAGATGTGAATCCCAGCCTTATTTCAGGGAAGCCTTTGAAGCTATGATGGACATAAGTCTAAATTAAATGTATGTATGTTTCATTATATTGCTCTTAAGACTACTGAGGTGGCAGTTTAATTCTTAAAAACAATAAAATGGAAGCATAAATACTATTTTGCCTAGATGAATTTTTACTTAATGATGACACATTTGGGAGAATGCAAAATTTTCTGTGTTTATGTGTTGGTACAACTTCTACAGTAAAATTAGATGCACTTATTTTGAGATGAAAACCAGCAAGTCGAATGTTAATATTTCTTCAGTGGCATGCTTGTTCTCAGTATAATACAGTATTTGGGGAACTATCAGTTGCAAAAACCATGAGAAACTATATCCATTTTGCCCTGTAAAAACCATTTGCTCAAAATTATTGTGTAAATACTAACTAGATACCACTGAAATATGAGTGGAAAAGATAATCTGAACGTAATTTTTTAACTCACATTAAGTAACTTTACTATATGAGGTATACAGAGCTGCCGTAGACTTTGTTCTGACATACTGGAAGAGTGTCCTGCCTCTTTCTGGAAAAGTCCTTATAGTCCAATCTCATGAAAATTTTGAGAAAGTCCTATATTATAAGTACAGTTGACTCTGAACAATGTGGGAATTAGGGGTGCTGACCCCCCCCCGCACAGTCAAATCCACATATAACTTTTGACTCCCCCCAAATTTTAATAATAGCCTGATTATATACACAGTTGATTAATACATATTTAGCATATTATATGTATTATATGCTGTATTCTTACAATGTAGCTAGGAAAAAAATGTCTCTAAGAAAGTTACAAAGAAGAGAAAATTCAGGGCGCCTGGGTGGCTCAGTTGGTTAAGTGACTGCCTTCGGCTCAGGTCATGATCCTGGAGTCCCTGGATCAAGTCCCGCATCGGGCTCCCTGCTCGGC